AGCAATTTAAGAAAATTTTCATTAAGTTTATTTAACAAATCATTTTTCTAAATTTTTGATATATCATAACGAAATTGCATGAGGCTTGAAGTTCCATGAATGAGAATCTTGTAATAGAGAACGATCGATTAGCTTGCTCTGAATTCGTGGTATTCTCCTCGGGTGAATCGTATCGTAGCACATGACTCAGCTGAGCACCTTGATCGCAATGACAGAAACGCGCATGCAACATTTCTCCGACTGACCTAGTTCGAAAGTCAATCATGTTAATTCAGGAAAGATTCGTCGGCATCGATGGCGAGGAGTATCGTGAGAGAAATCCATAAGACTGTGCAGTTCAAATCATGCACAAAATATCGCGATTATTAATAATTAAAGTAAATTTCACGTACGTTTATTATCTTATTTGCGGTTTTTATCAGTAATCAGCTTTTAACGTGCCCGTTTTATTTGCCCGTTTAGTTCTTCCTCCTTACACATAAATTTCGGTCTTACGTTCCTGGCATTTAATCTCCTTTTCCCCTAGGTTTCATTAAACCGACTCTCCAAATATGGCTAATCTGCGGACCTTTTTGTGCCCTCGAAGGAGTTAACAGCAGTCGAAACCGCGACAACTTAGCTAACGTTAAAAACGTACTACACTCCGGATAGGATTAGCGCGCCCTAATTTATTGACTTCTCGCCTTACTGTTGCGGGGACAAGGGGGCTTGAACCCCCATGGCTCCAAGTTAACGACATTTTACAAGAGGGGTGACTCTTCAGGGAGCTGCCACGAGTCGAAAGATGCATATTGCATGCTTGTAATCAAGTCTGACAAAATATCGTGCAGGCAGTGTGATCGTTCTAGTATGAATTGTATTATATTGTGACGTATTATATATTATTATACATATATGTACGAGGGTCGAGAACGAAAATCATCGTGGCGAAATGCACAAATCGAAATGCCACAGTTGTATTTAGAACTACTTTCTTTCCTCATTTTTTTTCCGAGATGAAGTGAATATTTTGTAATCTACAATAAACATCGTTATATTGCGACAGTTTATTAAAAATGATTGATTTACGATGTATCAAAAAACTCGGGGAAGCTTAATGTCTAGAAGTCTGATTCTTTAAGCCCGTAATACTTGAAGTATTCAATGTCATAAAGAGGATATACAAATGATCTCTGCAATTATTTCAATTGACAAGAAAATATTGCGGATAAATATAAGCAAGAAAAATAATTGAATATTTATTGACTATTTCAAACTTTATTGCCTGTATAATTTACAGGTTTGTTGATGCTGAAGATATTAATCAAAATAGAATTCACGCTCATTTTCATCCGTTCATAATTAATCCTTATATTTTTCGATTTATGTTAATAAAAATGATATTTCTTTTACTTTATATAATAATATATTAGATGCATATAAAATGTTTATCCTTTAGAGAAAATTTATTTTATGCATTTTCGCACTAATTTGATTTTCAACTGATTGGTTTAATTTATAGAATAATCGTTTTTGTTTTAAATTAAATACATTTAAAAATTATTTTGTAATAATAACTGAAATTGTTACAAATAACGTTTTTCTGTTATGATTTCCAATTAAATATTAAAAAATTAAAGATTTTTTAATGCATGAAAAATTAATCTGATATACTATATGTAACATAAAATTGAGTGAAAAAATGTTTTCGAATCTTTTGAAATTTAAAATTCAATTTATTATTATAGAAATGAATCTCGTATATGTTGTATTAATAAAAAGAATTACTCGTTTACCGTTTAACAATCAATATTTCATTATTCAACAAATGTGATTTCATTGTAGATAATATATATATGATGCCTGATATATTAAGCAGATAAGAATAAAGAAATGTCGTGTCCATTATCGTTTGATTGGACAGTTCCTATTTATATCAACATATATTAAACTATGTGGTATGACGTGACTTACGTACAAGGGGCGTAGAAGTTTGCATTCCATCCAATTCTCCTCAACGAGGCAATAACGGACGTCTTGAAAATCTCCCGTCCTTCTGCGCGTCCTCCTATCGCAGATCCCCCTAATTAAGAACACCAGTCGCGAGTGTTGGAGAAGGGAATCCAACGATGATCCTCATGTTCAAAGCCTAAGTGTCTCTTTCTCACGTTCCTAAAATCAAATTTCTCGTTCTATTAGCATCTATATGCATAAAGAAGTATTAAAATACGTAATTATTCAGAAATGTAATAATGGAATATATTATATCTCACAATTATTCATAAATGTAAAGCCTTATAATATCCTAACAATACTACAATATTATATAAAAGTATAAATTGCAATAGAAAAATGCGAATAAAAGAGAATAACTATTTAAAGTAAAATTAATTATCAAACTTATTGTGTAAAATATTTTTTAGTATCTGTATTAGTATCTTACAAATTTTTTTGTACTTAAATATCTTATTTGAAATAATAGAAAATATTATATATGTCATGACGTATTTGCTAAAATTTCATTTGTTATTTATTTTTCCAATTAGAAAATGTAAAGCTTTTCGTAATAATGTTTATTAAATGCATGTAACTATAAAAAGAAATTTCCATACGCAATCATAAAAAGAAATTTCCACATCTTATCTTAAATATTGTTTCAAAATATATAAAAATATGTGTACAAAATTGAATTGCTTGTAATATTTTTTCGTGTTATATTCTATAACTCTCTAAGTTTAACAAAGTTATTAAATAATAAATATTTCACACGAGATGTTAAATTAAATAACAAGATTAGAAAAATATTCTCTCGTCGATTTGTTGCACAAAATTTTAAATGTAACATTAATTATTAATGTTGCCATCTGATAGTAGTGCAATACAACTAAAATGTGACAAAATCGAATAACCGATCGGTAATACAATTCCAGAACAGATGAATTATTAGTAACGTCACTATTGGTAAACATGCATTTAATTAAAATATATTAAACATTCACAGTGAAATGTAAAACAATTATTTTTATTAAAATTAGTCCGCATAAAGTAAACAAGAGAGTACAATTGGAAGGAAATTTATATATATATATAAAATTGAAAGAATTTTAGAAGATTGTTTATATTGCTTGTGTTAAAGTTAAAAATGCAAGTGCGGAATGATCAACAATTTGAAAATATCAAAAATATATATCAATATATAATTAATTTATCTTGATAAAAATATTTCTCAGAATTTATGTAAAAAATTTCAAAAATTTTCAAAATTTCTTATAATTCTTATAATCATTTTTTAACTTTTTAGAAAATTTCTTTCAGATTTTTTTTTACAAAGTAGAACATTTTTTAGAAATGCCGAGAAATTTTATAAAATCTGAAAAAAATTTAACGTGCATTTTTCAAAAATTATAACATAAGAAATTGTAAAATATTTTAGAATTCACACACATAATGTGAAAAATTCTGAGCAAAAAGATATAAATTTTTTTATAAACTTAATATTTTTGAAAGTGTTCCAATTTGCGTAAAAATTCTGAGAAACATTTTCATCAGGATAATGTCATGTTGTATACCTTGTCCACGTGCGATGCTATACATTAATCGTGTTTTACTGCATATGGGCATGAAAATAAGTGTTCAAATAAGATATATAAAGAGAGTTTCAATTTTGGATGCAGAACACAACTTCAATGCTCAAATATCGATATTGGCGATGTCGGCGATGGCACGCGATGATACTGATGATAGGGATAGCCTATGTGCGTGTTCTCTCTCTCTCTCTCTCTTTCTCTCTCTTTCTCTTCTTTTTCTTCTGAATTCCCAATGGATTTCTGCTCTACTATAGCAGATCACAATGTCACATTTAATGCGTTGCGAGAACTTTACGAGACTGATACGTATCCATACAGCTTCCAGTTCTCTAAGGGATTGTCCTAAAGACAATTCCCCAGGATGTTCTCGGAAAATTGTGTTGTGTGGGTATCCCTGATTTTATAAAGCGCATGATGCATATAATTTTATCCTTGTTGTTCATCGAATAAGTTGTTGAATAAGAATAAAATGATTCATCATGCACATTATGCGTTTTACGAAACACAATCTTTACAAGAGAGATTATATGCATGCAAGATTCACTTTTCGACAATACAATCAAAAAAAATATAAAGAGATGCGATATACATATTTTGATAAATATTGAAAATGTTCAAACAATGAATTATGTTGAAACAATGGACGCAATCAACGCAATTAATGTTAAAACAACGAAAGGAACATACCTTTAGATGTGATCGTGCAAGTAATATTACTATTCTTACTTTCGCGTTTTGTAACGAAGAAATAATTTTGGCGCAATATGGCGGACGAGAAACTTTCGGCCAATTTTCCAGGTTGAAATTAGAAAACCACGATCAGCTTATAATAACGAATATTCAATACGTTATAGTGAACTAATGTTCTATAACAGAAATTTGCAATATTCTTTCGTCCGCACGATTTATTGTTAGGTAAATAATAATCGTGGAAAGCACGGAGTGATTCGAACGAGTTTCGCCGCGTTCCGCAATGGATTAATCAAGATCAGGATGCATGCGACATCTGTCGAGGACATTGCGAAGTAATGAGATTACCTATCAATGGTCAAAATATTATGACTAAATAAAAATATCGCTAAAATATCAGAAATTGACTGCGTTCACCAGAGAAAACAGCTTTGCAACTGTTGCAAAATTTTTTAATATGATTAATCTTGTCATTAATTCCTTACTAGATTTATTATTAAATGTATAAAGATTTAAACTTACTAGATTTAAATGTAAAAATTAGAAATTGCAAAACGCAGTCAATTTGTATCGATCGCCAGTTAATAATCCACCTAATAAATCTTTAATAATTTAATCGCTTGAAATCTCCCAAAATTTTGCACTTTAAACGAGATAAATATATATATATATATATATATACATTCGAGCGTCGAAAATAAAGAAAACGAAGATACTGAGTGTAAAAAGTACAAGTAACGCGAACAGATCGAACTACGTCACGAGACACCATATGACTTTTCACCTATATATATAGATATGCATATACCTTTAACTGTAAAGTCAGCTGATTTTGACTGACTGCTTCTCAGATGCAAGTGGAAGAAAAAAATATGGTCAGAGACGAGTATCCAGCATCGGAGGAAATGAAAAAGGAAGGAGATATGGAGGAGACGATGCAAACGGAGGAAACTAATCGCAACGACGCCGACGAAGAAATGAACAATACCGAGATCGAAGAACATTCCGATGATATTTGCGAGTATCTTGAGAACGATGTATATCCTGAAGATATATATATTGATACAAGTAAGTAATATTTCAAATCTTTTCGAGTAAATTGAGAATTCAAAAACTAACAATGTGACATGATACTGTATGATTATGGAGAATTTTATTATACATTGTTGATGTATATCTAAATATTAATGCATAGAATAAATGCATATGAATAAATAATTTAAGAAATAAATACTTAAATAAGCCTTTAAATCAAGTTTTTTTCTCAATAATTAATACCACTATAGAATGCTTTTAAAATCAAGTAAAAAAAGAGATATGTATATCATTAACATATTATGCGCAGGTATAAAGGCATTAGAAGATGAATTGGATCATTTGCAAACTGCTTTGGATCATTTGGAAAGGAAAAACGATGATATACATGCACAGTTGACCGAATTATTACAGTCTAATCGTGAAGCTAGGAAACAGTTTCAGGAATCATTACAAGTCGAAGGACAACAATCAAAGTGATAATTATTCTGTACTTAGAAAATCATGTTTGTTGATTTGATGCTGTCTGAAGATACTCCCAAGTATTATTTTCTGATCTTGTAAATGGATTGTTTTATGTATCTATAAGAATGAAAAACATTTATAATCTCTCTCTCTATCCCGATTAATCATATTTGTTAGTGATTAAGCAAAGAAATTTCAACAACATTCCTAATAACAAAAATAAAATTGAATTAATTTATCGTGTAATTTATTATGCATATATATGTATACACATATATATTTGGAAATATTAATGCACTTTTATTTATTACGAATATCGATGTTAATTGAATTGCAATTGTAATTAAAAAAACATTCTTGTACATGTTATGCAAAATATATATTTTTTTATTAAATTTTAATATTTTATTTTTAAAGAATAATGAAACATACACAATATCTTTGTATCTAAAGTAAGAAAATATTTTTAAAAATGATAAAACATTTTAGAATATTTCTAACGAACAAAATAACTAGAAAAGATATGAAAATATATAATCCAATCATTTTGTAAAAATGTTTTATGACAGTTCAGTGCGCTGAAACAGAGGGAAATATTAAACTAAATAAATGCACACGAACAGTTATGTAAATTTTATTTGCATATAAACAAACAGATTTAATATAACTGTTGACGTAGTAAAAGTATTTTTAATATAATGCTAATTTAAACTACAATTATCGTGTACTTAATGATAAAGAACTTACTTTCTAATATGTTAGATATACACAAATCAGTAAACTAATATAAACAGCATGTTTCATGGATCTACTTGCAGAAAGTTATGTTAGAACATTAATTACTTAAATAGTTTTAATAGGTGCATATCTCGATAACCTAACTATCTTTTGCTGGCCCCTAGTTATTTCTAAACGATATTCTTTTATTCTTTACAATATATACACATTAAGTGCAATTAATAGTGATTTATCACAAAGCGCAACACCAAGTGATTCAATCTTTAATTTCTTCATTTACATTTTCCATTAATTTTTTTAAAGCATTACATCTATGATATCTGAACAGTGCTATATCAGAATTATGTAACATATACATTTGTTATAAATGAAAACACTCTCCATAATTAATATTTTTCATCAAATACAAGCTTTAGTTCAAACAGGCAAATCCATCTTGCTGAATAGAAAAATATACAAACAACTTCGGCTCATAAATCATTTTATTATATTAAATAAATATTCATCACATGCTGAGAAAAGTTTCGTCATTTAAGATTTATTTGAAAGAAATCTATACCTCTTTAAAAATTCTTAAAATCTTTGATAGTAAAATGTAATGCTTTTATTAAAAGAAAATGCTTAACTTGCACTTAAGTGGATGGTTAATTTTTGATTGCATATATAGAATTACATAACAGATTTTACAAATCTCAAAATGAAATGTATGAACTTTACTTTTGTGATAAATTTCCTATCTATAAATCAAAACGAAACATGATAAGATATTCTAACATGTAATGTTGGCTTTTTATATGTTTTGTATAATTCGAGCCATATGTTGCAAATGCATTGAATAAATGTAAATGATAGTAAAACGATCATTACATATACGATCAATACGTACAATCAATTAATTTATCGTATACAGCGCTTAAGGGGCCAAGTAATTTCATACATTCTTATCGGATAGATTAAAGTCTATTCTACAATATGCTTTTTGTTTTCTGTTTCTTACTTTTTGCTATTTTTTTATATCTTGTTTTATGTTGCCTGAGATAAAAGTTAACGAACTTCGAAAAAAACAAGAAATATAATTGTCGATAAAACGGTTACAAAAAAAAGCAAGAAACAGGAAACAAAAAGCACATTTTAAAATAGGCTTAACACACTGTTGTACAGAAAAACATTAAAAACATTAAAGGATTATTAACTTATTAATAAAGACTAAGACTAAGACTTCAAGACTAAGACTTCAGTGTTTGAATCTTAATTCCAAATATCCAAATTCTTATCTTTCTTTTACGACCGAATATATTATATTATATA